CCAGCTAGACTCTATGCCATTGATCACAATCCTCTGAGTCCTGCCATTCAGCCAGTTCTCAATCGACCTCACCGCCCACTCATGCAGCCTGCACTTCCTGAGTTTGCCTAGGAGAATGTTATGGGAGACAGTGTCAAAGACGTTGCTGAAGTCCAGGTAGATATTACGTCTCCTATGAAGGTCAAAGCTTTTCTCCACCCAGACCCAGGTGAAGAGCAGAAGCAAGTCTTGCAAATCTCTCCAAGCCAAATATTATATTGACTTGTAACTTGCCTGAAATAAACTCTACTTAACTAACTAACTACCCATGTTGTACAGTGATGGAGGATTAAGCAAGCAGTTTATTGTTGTGCAGATCAAGCTCATCTCGTATAACACTGACCATCAAGAAGTCCAAGATGGCTATTTTCAATGCAATGCTGCAGAAAGAGTCATCTTCTTCTTTTGGCCCTTAATGTACATTAACTCACCTTTGAAGAGGTGCCTCTGGAGAGGCTGCCTCTCCAGTCAAGCTACCTTGTTTAGACTGGTCAAATAAGTTTAAAGCAGCTCAAGTTGAATGAGATTAGATGAATCCCTCTCTTTGTATTGTAATCTGTAGGATAAATGGAAGAATATATGAAACACCAGCTAGTGTGTTTTGCACACAAGTTGGTTTGAAACATTTATGAGCATGCAGGAAACAATTACAATGCTAAGAAACAAAGTCCTCTTGAGACTCTCAACAAAGCACAGGAAATCTTTTCTGAGAAATTTATTTTATTGCCTCTTGAAGTGTTCCTTGGAGAAAAGTTCTTAGAAACATTCCCCTCATAAGCAGCATTTAAATGTTTTTTTTTTTTTTCTTTTGAAATGAATCCCAAAATGCCCGGCATTAAAAGATTTACCACAGTCACAGGAGATAAACGAGAAATGCATTGAATAATCTAGATAGATAAATTAATTTTAAGATTTCTTTGGAAAAACTGCTTTGAAGATGTAGAATAAATATTACCACGGTATGCCTATAGTACATATAAATGAATACTGTATCTGTGCAGATAGCATCGTAAGCTAAAGAAAGAGGTGTATAATACCATAATGCTTTGCAAAGTGACTCTCCACATTAGTGTAAAATTAGTATTGCCGTAGCTCTCGTTAACTCTGCAAGCAAAGATCTGACTCTAAAGTGAAATTGTACCTTGACAAGATAACAAAATTACCGCAGGTTGCAGCTGCTCTGATAATGGAACATTTTGGAAAATTTCATTTTGGAGATTTTGGAAATGAATCAATCGTTTCCCTTCTAAGCTTGAAAAGATAGAAAAATAAAATTACTCCACTTTTAATATTTTTCTTTACTTTTTCTTTTCACTGCTTTGAAATTAAAAGTCTTTACCTTTAATTTACAAATTGAAGCTGTGACCCAAAGTATCTAGGAATCATTTGACTATTGTCATGAAATTAAAAATAGCGTCAGTATAATGTGATTAAGGAACAAATGTTAGTTAATACTCAGAAAAAAGAAGTGTGACACCACTAAGAGGCCTTCTGGGGAAGCAAGAATCTATTTGTGCTCTGTCACTGTCTGTCTGTGCAGTTGTCACTGCTGCTCTCTCATGCCCTTAACAGGAGGGATCAGTATTTTCAAACCTCTAGCCAAAGTATTCCAGGGTGCTTGCTTTGTACAGCTAATCTGAGTGATCAGTTAACATTTTTGTGACAATAACAAAGTGAATACACACACACACACACACACACGCACGCACGCACACACGCACACACACACACACACATACACTCACTCTCACACGCTCAATGCATACACCCCCTCCAAAAAACATATGAAGGTAATTAGTGCAGTGTGGTTCTTATGTCCATTTCTTAAGGTCTGTATTGCTTAATTCACTCATAATCTTGCTCCTAACTGTCTCTAGTGAAGTGTATCAGTTATAAATCATGTGAAGACAGTGTATTACATGGCTGGCATTGTTATCTCTACCTATTAAAAGTGAAATTATCTAAGGTTTAAGCCTTAGTTGTGTTGAGATCAGTAGGATATTCGCCATTGTCTTCTTTGATCATCACATACGCAGGCTATGCAGTGAGTGAGAAATAGTGTTTGGGCCCTTTCTTTTTTTTCCACCGCTCTTTTAGTTGAATTTGCAAGTGGTTTACCCAACAGATACACGCTCATTCCTGGTAACGCCCCAGCACTGGCATCTAGTTTTCCAGCCTGCTGAAGCCAGAGTGGAGCTGCCTGGGGTGGACCTTTGCACTCTCTCTCCTGCAGCCCCACTGCCCAGCTCGGCCAGGGTTCAGCCCCTGGGGCTGAACCTGGGCCCACGTGCAGCCACCAGCACTGGTGGGTCAGGATTTACAGGGACCCGTTGCTTGTGCCTACGGGTTTTCCCTTTTATAAGCAGGTGGTTCTTAAAGCCAGGGAATGGAAAACTCATCCCATTAACATCAACGGAAATTTTGCTGTTAGCTTAAAAAATATCCAAGGTACAATCACCAACCTTATCCTGAGTAATGTGAGGAGCAGAAAACGTACATTCTTAAATCAGTACTAACTTCAAACCAAGAACATACGCTAATTTAACGAATGAAAAACTTTTTTTTTTTTTCAGGAGTAAAAATGGATTAAAGAAAAGAAAGCTGACCAAGTATGTGACTTTTTGAACATTTAAAGAAATTTTAAAAAAGTATCACCTCAGACTGAATATGCATGAAAGAGTACATTGGCATAGTGATATTGCAGTTACAGATAGAGAAAACTTCTTGGTAAATACTTCCTGACAGAGATGTCAGAAAGTCAAAAACAAACAATAATTGCACAAAAGTTACTCTTCTGAACAGATAAGTTGTGGTAAAACAGCTCCTGACTCATATAAAATTAGTCGTGAGGGGAAAAGATCAATTATCCAACTTCGTGATTCCAGCGGAGCTTTGCCTTAGTTAAAAATGACAAACGGTAAAAAACTGGAATGCATTTATTTCCCTCTTGACATGAGGCTCTCATTATGGTTGTTGCTAGAACATTAGATTATTAATGCTAACGGGTAAAGAGGAGTAATTAAGTGGTGATAAGACAGGTTCCTTTGGGCTTATTGCCTTGAAGTAAATGAAAAGATTACTGCATACATGCTTCAGTAGCTTGTAAATTAGAACATGATAATTAGGTGAGGGAAGCTGTTTACCTGTGGGTCATTATTCAGAGCCTTAGCCTAGTTATGCCTCCTTTATGTTCAGAGGCTGTGCCTGTGCTAGGAGATAGACCCTTACCTGGTGTGGCAGTGTGTGGAGTAATGGGAGTCACAAAAGCAAGGCCAGTTTACGCCTGCTGAAGCTCTGCGTGGCTTTGTATAGTTATACTTCATTGTTTTCACTGACTGTTTCTCCAGGAGGAGAATTCGACCTCTAATGGCGAATGCCTATAGTTCTCAAAGCCAGTGGAGAAAACCGTCACGGCAGCAGCATCCAAAAATGCTATTTTAAGTTTTTTTTCACAGACCTTCTCTAAAATGAGGCCCTAAATATGAAATCCACTAAGGGTCTGAGTGAGCAAAACTCAAATGAGTTTTAAAAGTGTCTCCTCAGTGGATGGTTTCCATATGTGAAAGCAACCTTTTATGTAGTGTTGAGGCAGCTTAAATGAGCTGTCGCTGCTCTGCTACAAGAAGCACGCTGACAGCACAGTAATTCAAGTGGGTCTGCACTGGGATGCTGGATCACCCACCCACTCATCTTGGTGCCACTTATGCCTTGGGCATCTATTCCCTTTAGAGACCTTCAGAGGTGGTTCAGGGGCCAGGGAGTCCAAGAAAGATACATAGGCCTTTCCCCTTGCCTCAGGCCAGTGTTTTCCCTCTGGCAGGACAACTCCTACCTGCCAGCTCAGGTCAAACCCTTAACATCGTCCGCACCCAGAGCTGCAGAGCTCAGCTCGCCACGGGGATCAGCTCCCCCTCCCTGAACCATGCTTGCTCCTGGTGTTACAGTATGGTGTAAGTAACTAGCAATATGTTCAGTGCCATTTGTTGGCACCGAATCATGAGGGGTTTTTTTTCTTCCCTTTTGTTACTTTCTAGCATGAACAATTGCAAATACGTATTCATGACTTGATAGTATTCTGTGGGGCAATAGAAATAAAACCTATTTATAATTTTTTTTTTTGTAAATGTTTGTGTGTTTTTTTTTTTTAAAGCCCTGTCCAGTTGGATGATTTTGATGGCTACATCAAGGATATGGCCAAAGATTCAGATTATAAATTTTCTCTGCAATTTGAGGTAAATCTGTGGGGACTCCTTCCGCTCCTAGCTGTCGTGCCTAAATCGGCTTTCTCCAGATGTTAGATTTGTGTGGTGTGTTCCTGTGCTCTGTTGTGTTTAATATGTGCTGTTGCTAGGTGGATGAGCTTCACTGGAAGTTCTGCAGAGCTTAAAAACAGTCTTTGATATTATTGAAGACTGTATTTAGTCAGCTGATTTTCATGGCTTATCATATTTAGATTGAGCTAATTGTCAGACATCTTTTTTAGTTTAGGATCTGCTGGTAGCTTAACTTAAATTCAGAATTTTTATTTATTTTTTAATTTGGAGGGCAGCACTGGAATGAGAAGGTGACATCAAAAATCTCTTCAAGAGCAAGGGGGATACATTGTCTGAATTACCCAACATTTAAAGTCAGTTTAGTCATATAAAACTAGAAAGCTCCGATCCTAGGACTGTTGAAGTGAGACCAATGCTCCCAATGACTTAAAGGAGGAGGAGGAGGGCTATCACTGTAGTGTGTAGCTGACATGTGCCCTTCCTCTCAGTGAAGAGTGCTTTGATGCTTTAACTATGACTACTTACGGTAACAACTGGAAACATCTTTCAAGCATTCCCCAGTATCAAGATCGAAAGCCACTTGAGGAACTGAAGGAAGCTCTTAAAATGTTGTGGATGACCTCCTCAGCAATAACTTATCAACACCCTGGTCTGACACTATTTTAGCTAATTTAGTGTCACTGGAGAGGAGCAGTCCGTAGTCACAACTTTGACTGGCAGCAGTGCATTGGTAGCATCGGCAGAAGAGGCTACATCATTGGTCTGGAGTTGTTCTGAGCCAAGCTCATGGGTGGCAGATAAGGGAGCTCAATGTGTCCCTATTGTCAGTTTATAAAGAGCTTTATGAACACTTCCAGCTTGGTAGATGCTACAGGCGCTCATTTCACAGAAGATTGTATTTTTTGAATGTTAGTGAATTTGACTTTTTTCCTTCTCTTACCCCAGGAGCTAAAACTGATTGGTCTTGACATACCCCACTTTGCTGCTGACCTTCCCATGAATCGCTGTAAAAATCGCTACACAAATATCCTACCATGTGAGTACAGTGCATGCAGGCTCCTGTTGAAGTGCCTCTAGAAGGAAAGAAGTTTTAATAAGAGAACTGTGAAATCAGCACAGATTTTCTGGCTGATAAAAGCCTGTTCTAAAACCTGTTCCTAAAGATGGAGGCAATGGAGGTTTTCTGTTAGCCTGAGACTGGTGACTGGAGTTGAAAAATACAAGGCCATACTACTGAGCAGTGTTATTTTTTTCTATGAGTTTAATTAAATCGAAGAGAACCCAAAGGGAAGGCAGCTGGAGGGTGCATTTTGCACATTCATTGTGTTGCAACCACGTAGTGCTTACTGAAGCGCATTGCTATCTCGGTGAATATGAGCATTCTTTATTTTTTAATAGATTTTTCAATTTTTAGATGATTGCTTTTAATTTCACTTAGTTTGAGATGAGTGCCATGTTTGAAAGCCAAGTCTTTTTTTTTTTTTCCTTTTACAGATGATTTTAGCCGTGTCCGGTTAGTTTCAATGAATGAAGAAGAGGGTTCTGACTACATTAATGCCAACTATATTCCCGTGAGTAAAGAGACTCCAATCAATGTAAAGAATAATGCCCTGTGCAGCAGCTAGAGCACATGTCAGCAGCAAATGGTGCAAAATCTCCTGGTAGCTCAGCCACGTTTTCCACTTCAGCTTCCAGTATTCTGCCTGCAGGGAACTGTGCTTTCTACTAGCCACAAAAAAAAAAAAGTATTGCCAAATTTTGCCACAGCAGCACCAGAGAGCTGCAAATCTAATCTTTGTGAAAGGTGAAATGGCCTTTTCAAGACAGCTGAAAGAACTTTTCCAGGTTTATAATTTATTTGGGAAAAGGAGCAAGCCAGTCACTGCAGGACTGACGAATGCGTGCAGCCCAGATGGTGCACGGGGAAGGCTTGTGCTGGTGCTTCCTTGTTTCAGGTGTTGCTCAGTGTGCCTGCTTCTGCCTGGTACAGCAGTTGTTAACGGAGAATAGCAGCCAGAGTTTTTGGGCAAGAGAAGTAGACCCAGTGCTGCAGCCAAACACTTTGACATTAGGGGTGTGCTGAAACCTCACTAGTTCTTTCTCCTCTCCCCTGGGCCTCTGCAGTCCCCCAGGCTTGTTCTCATCACTGCCGCAACGGTCTGCCCCTGTTTGCCCCTCCATCCGGGCTGCAGCTCAGTATTTGCCGTGCTCACCCGGTGTGGGGAAGGCAGGACATTAAGGCATCTGCTTAGAAAAAGCCCCCATACTTGGGGGGAACGTACGCAGGGGAGCATTTCTGCCTCGCTGCCGTGAACAGGAGACAGTGTTGGCCCTGGCCTGGCTGGAGGGCGGTGAGTCAGTATTATGCACAAGGGAGGCGTCTTTGAATGAATCGGTAAAAACACTTTGCCACTGTGAAGTCTCCCATCTAGGTGCTGCTGAACACGTTGCCTGCGTGTGGTTTCTGTGTAGCAAGAGCATGAATAGAGACGCTAAATCTGTAAGTGTCTGAGCTCATATTGAATCAGGAAATAGAAATGTACAAATACCCAAAAGCACCAAGAAAACTTCTATGAAGTGTTTATAGCATCCAGGATTATATGTAATCGTCTCCTTTTTGGATTGCTCATTTGAGATTTTATATTTTACATCTATTCAGTTTTGCTTATAACATACTATTAGCCATAGGAATTGCCTTCCCAACGGGGCAAGCACAGCCTCCTAGTTTGGCTTTTCTGATAATTGCTTCTTCACTAAGCACCTCCTTCTAGACGCTGTTATTAGTGGTGATCTGAGTATCTGTAATATTAGAGATTTGCCACTTAGGTTGGACATAGCCCATGCAGACAAACAAACAGCTTTCTGTGTAGTACAAACACTGAAGTTGAACTGACTTTTAGAAATGTCTAGAGGAAGTCATTTCTGGAAAGTGCTCTCAAACTTTCAGTATTTCAACAATCCACGGGTACTACAGTGGACTTACTTATGTGGGATCGTGCTGTGCCTTAACTGTTCCTTTTTGTTCTTACTCGGGATATCAAATAACTTTGCAAATGACGTTTTACTGATACAGTCTCAGCAAATATGATTATAGTAGATGTTAAAATTGCTCTTCTGTGGATATTTTATTATTTACGGTGGTCTTTTGAGGGAGGAGGAAGGAGAGAAGGAG